TAGTATTAAAATTATGAACTATCCACTTTCAGTTTGTTTTCAGTATGTTTACATTAGCAGGGGAGACATAGTTTACCTCTTGTAAAGTTAAGAAAAAAATGAGGCAAATCAGAAAGATAGGCTATGAGTCAAGTATATTAAGCAGCAGAAAGATTCAAGTAATCAGATTTTTAACTCTAAGTCATTTATGCCAGAGTCTCTCTCTTATCAGGGGAAAGCATAAAACAGCATCTAGAGCAAGGCAGAGTTCAGGTCAAATTAAAGAACATGGGCAATCAATGGTTACCTGTTGAAATCTATTTTTATGTTGTGCTAGCCTTTGTTTCCACAGAAGTTGAGCCGCTAAAGATCATACATTTGGATGGCTCAGTAGCTGTCACTGAGTTGTTAAGATTCATTTTTCACTTCTTACTAACAGCAAGTATTTGAAACAATTAACACAACTTTATGATCTCATCTATTTCTAGACTATAACATTATTATATATATATATATATATATATATATATATATATATATATATATATATGACTAAGACTTTTGTCTTTTCTGCATTTTGTTTTTAGATCCTGGATATATACTAAAATACCTGGATGAGATAGCTTCCCCATAAATGGACATGCACATAGCTGCTGAATGCTGTTTGTGGTGATGTCTGAACCTTTTGCTGATATCACCTAAGGTATTCCCAAACACTTAAAGTTCAGCTGACTTCCAGGCTGAGTATCAGCTGTAGAGTTTTAGTCTTAATTTCCATAGAGTAATGACTAATGCCATGTTTAAGGGAAAAACATGCAAAATTCTGATGTGTAATGGCCATATTAAGTACAACTAAAACTAGTTCTATGTTCCTCTGCTTTGACTAACAGTATGAACATTAGCAGTAACTTTCTCTGAGATTAATTTCAGTAATTTTGTAATAGGTAATGTTTACTCATGTTCAAGTAAAATAATGGAAAATACCCAACTTTTAAATGAATAATTATTTTAACTTGTGTTTTAAAATAGTTTCTAAAAGGTAACTGGTAATCAATTTATTGGAGTATTTGAATAAATTGAATTTAAATTCTAACCGTAAAATGCTTAATTACTAATTGAATTCAATGACCTATGTAAATTACATTTTAGAAGTCTGTTTTCCAAACTTAAATGACAAAATTTCACTCCTGTTCACTGTTTTGTGTTGATTGAATATATACTATTGGGAGAACAGTAAAAAAAAAAAAAATAGGTTGCCCTAACCGGTTTTGCTCAGTGGATAGAGCGTCGACCTGCGGACTCAAGGGTCCCAGGTTTGATTTCAGTCAAGGGCATGTACCGTGGTTGCAGGCACATCCCCAGTAGCGGGTGTGCAGGAGGCAGCTGATCAATGTTTCTCTCTCATTGATGTTTCTAACTCTCTATCCCTTTCCCTTCCTCTCTGTAAAAAAATCAATAAAATGTATTAAAAAAATAGGTTTATGTAAGAGGGATATTTTGCTTGTTCTATAAATATCATTTTATAGTCAAAACCAATTGTTCATTCTTTATTTTGTTCAAGTTGAAGTAAAATCATTATTCCATTGGCATGTTTTTCTTGACACTACTGACAGTTGTTAATAAAAAGATTAATGCAATAATGTGCACATTTCATTAGAGAAAAGAAATCTTTATTTTTTTAGAAAGTGGTTAAATGGTTTCTTTCTTTCCTTTTCCACTTCACTGATTTTCCAGCACTCTGAGCCAAGCAGTCCTGCTCTGCTCGACACATATCAAGTCCTCAGCTTTATTATTAACATCTTCAAAAGAAGTGCAAAACTTTGATGCTTACTGCTGTAACAATATTCTAATGGTCCCTGTTCATAAGTATATATGAACAGGGACAATTAGATAACTTATATATAAAACAATTTATATAAATTATATAAACTTATATATAAAACAATTTCTTTGTGTGTATATGTGTGCATATCTAAAATAAAATATATATAATTTTCCTTTCAGACTGCTCTGTGTTTTAAATATATAATTTGCTGCATTTTAATATTTTCTACCACTCAAAGAGATAAAAAGTTTATGGTTTACAGTGTGAAGATGAAATTATTTATCATTCTTCAGCATTGTGCACCATACTTTAAGTAATACAGTTATCTGTTGTATAATTTAAGTCATAGAAAGACAAACAAAATGAAGAAATTATTTACACCATGTAATCTGATATTGCATGAATTTTTGAGCACGTTATAAATACTTAAGTAAATATTATATATATATTAATTTCTATTTTCTTCTTAGAAGCAGTTCAATAACCCACTCAGAGCCAAGATTAAAATACCTATAAATACTGTGGTTTAAATTAAACTACTAAGTGTATTAAAGTGTTTACTGATTATTTTTGTCTTTATCTCCAAAGGCAGACATTTATCTTATTTCCTCTTGTAGAAATAGTTGTCTATTCCACATTGTTTTAGCTGATCTCTCTTCTTTCTAGGTGCAAAGCTAAAAAAAAACTTTCCTAGCCTCCTTTGCCATTAGGTGTGTGCACATGATTGAGTTCTGGCCAACAGAATGCCATGAGAAGTCAGTTGGGCCACTTCTGGGCCTACCCCACTGAACCATCCACTCATTTTCTGCCATACTGACTAGAGTACACTCATGTTTTCAGCCCCTAACACATGGCACATTTAATCTAACATAACTTAAATAAGGTTAAATAAATATGAATTCTTTACAAAGATATGGCCAGAGGGCAGGAAAGCCACACGGGATAATGTAATATTCTAGGACCATAAAACAGTTACTCTGATAGCATTTTTATATCTACAGGCTTCTAGGAAGAAAAACGTTATCAGAACTTGAGAGAGAGGGCCATCTGCCAAGAGCCTAGACATTCCCTGGGACTGAGTCAGCCTCTGGGATACCAGACAAGGCCAAGAGAACACCATTTGCTTATCATTTGTCAAAATCCTGACATCATTTGCTTCACCCTTGAAGTTCCTGCTAGTGTTCCCCAGTGACTGAACCCCACTGGAAGCCAGAGGACAAGGGAATTTGTATTATTTTTCTAGGACTGCCTCAACAACACCCCACATATTGGGCGGCTTAAGTAAATAAAATGTATTGCCTGTGAACACACAGAGAGCCAAGGAGAGAGGCCTCGGAAAAAAACAACCCTGCCAATACCTTCATCTTAGACTAAATTTCTGTTGTTTAAGCCACATAGTCTGTGGTAGGTTGTGAAGCAGCCCAGCCTAATCAACACAATGGGCATTAGGGCATTATGAGTTTCCTGATGATTAGATACAGTTATGTGTTTGTAAAGCATCTGGCACATGGTGGTTAATTAATGTTCTTGCTGCTGTTAGTTTTGTTTAGTGGGCAGGTAATTTATAATCCTTGTATTTATCTTATCTTGAACATACAGAGGCTCTTTTAGGATAGAAAATAAGAAATCAAATTATATTTTCTATAATTGGTCAGAAGGCACATGACTTAAAAGTTATTCATAGGTTTTCGAGTAAGAGTAGCAGAACTGTGCTGTTTTCTAACTATGTTATTTTCAGCATTTAATCTCTTTATTTTTAGTTTTACATTGGGGAATTTGATTAGTAATTAAATTTGCTTTTGAAACAAAAAATTCATATATGTAATATAATTACTAATGGACACAAAGTTGGTGTATAATAAACTGTAACTATAATTGCTGTGTTCTCATTTATTTTTTAAACCTTTTCCAACACACCCCAGGCCAGACAGCTTCTTCTGGTGCATCCCTCTGCCTCTCCCATCACCTCTCATTTGTCTTTCAGTTTCCTGGAGGAGCCAAAATAACTTTTGTGACATGATTCCTACTGCTGCCCCAGTGCTCATACACCTGCTTCCCCCAAGACAGTGGCAGTGTCTGAGCTGAGAAATTATTACCTAGGCAGATAGGGTTTCCCATAGTGCATTGCCCCCGACAATAGTTACTTGTGAAGTGAAAATGCTAAGCAAATAAGTGTTAAGGGTTCTGTGTCCATGTCTTGAGTTAAGCAAAGCATGTCAGATTTTAGTAAACAGGATTACAGAGATCTTAAAATGCTCATGCACATTATCATTCGTCGGGAGAGGTATATGTCAAGTAGCCTTTCCTCAATTTTGTTGATAATAAACTGTGTGTTTTTTTGGTCAATTTTCTTAAGAATCTGTACTTTAGACAACAAGATTTAGGTAGTTCTGGTCTAAGGAAGGTAAAATGTCCTTTAGAACCTTTTCTTTAACTTCTTTTCCCAGTTTTCATTTTGGCCTCTTTACTTTCTTCTTTATTGGTGTTAAGTAGATAATAACTTTTATTATACAATAATATATTGTCATAACCAAATAATTTACTTCAATCTACCTATTAGATAAGGATGGAGGTGTTTTAAAGCATCACTTAAAGGTGGAAGAGGCAAAACACATAACAAAAAGACACTAAATCTATATTAAAATTTAAACCTTACTAAAAATTGAAGAAGGCAAATTAAGGGCAAATGTCACTTTCACTTATCAGATTGGCAGAATGATACCTGATGTTTGTGAGAGTTTTGAAATAGAGTCACCTTCAAACACAGCTTTTGGGAATATAATAATATGTTAATTTTTCTATTTTGACTATTGTATAATGGATCATTTTAATTGTCTTCTTTATGGTTTTTCTGGATGTTCCGAATTTTCTAATGTAAATATATTTAATTTTGATATAAAAAATACCAGTTTTTTTCATGACTCCTGTAAGCAGAAAATAATATGAAGCTTTTATGGCTTTGTTATAATCTTCTTATGTAAGTTTGTTGATAATGTAATTCTTATAACATTCTTTCCCCAGCCCTATTTTAAGGGCACATAGAAAAGTCAGAATGGGTTGATAAACATTAATTCACATACAAGTGTATGTGAATACTAATCAGGATAATTTCTACTTTCAAATGGCAAGAACAATACCCAGAGGAAGTCTTTGCTACTTAAAAGATTAAGTGGGAAAGAAAATAAGTATATCTTACCTGATAAGCAGTGAATACCTTTGTCCATCATCTACTTTAATAGTAGTGTTAATGCTTTGCAATTTTGCTTCACCAGCACAGAAAAAGTGGTGCTATGGGGAAAAAAAGTTTTTCCTCAATTTTTCTGTGTGAAACTAACATCCTATACTTGCATTAGACTTTACAATTCATCAATAATTTTCCTTATTGTGTTAGTGAGACAAGAGGTCTGAAACTTAAAGAGAAGTGACAGCTCAAGGTTATATGCCTAATAAGAGCTAGGATTAAGACACATAAATGTATAAATATTACATACATATATACACCATACACGTGTACACACACACACACACACACACACACACTCTTCTGGTTTCTTTTCCAGTATTGAGTTGAGAAAGGCTGTCAGCAGGGAACAGGTATTGGCAATTTTCCTTCAATGTATAAAACCAGTGAATACATTCTAGAGGGTAATGTTAACGTAACAGGAAGGGAACCTTAAAGATTATGAAAGTTAACCATACACTCTAAACTTTCCAAGGCTTGAGGATACCTATGGCCATTTGTAGAATTATTGCTAATTGGGCCAATTGAGTTATAGTTTAAAAGGGGCAAATTATGTCTATACCTGGTATGTTTGACCAGACATCCCTGGGAATCTCAGGAGTGGGCTGCACTTCCTATTTATCCTCTTAACAGCATGTGCCTGGATGTACACCAGTTATATTGTGGCCATTCTTTCCCAGAAAAAGGCTTTATAGTCTTCCTCATTTCTACAGGATATCTGTAATCCACATATAAGTTAAAGAAAAACAGTTGCATAGTGTTTTATAACTCCTATGCATCCAGTTATATTAAACTGATATATTTAAATATTCCCAAATGTAGCCCAAAAGGAAATAGAATGTTATGTATTTTATTTTTTAATGATATTTGGGCATTGCAAAAGGTTTCTTTCCTTTATAATATTATCAGCTCCAAGTTCACTTTAATAAATAAACAGTATTGAGATTTTCAAAAATAAATACATCTCCATGCACTTTGCAGGAAAATAAGTTGCATATATTTTTCTCAAGCCATGTGAAACTAAGTAAAACTCAGTGTTTATTTACTAAATTTTTACCTTGTGACCAGTATACAACCAAAGTTACTAAAGAATACATTTAATATTTTTGACACCACAGAGGATAATTTATCTGTTTCTTATGTATAACACTTAGAAATCTATGTTGTTGGTTAAGCTTAAATAATAATGTACTAACCAACAATACTTAAAAAATATTTTTCGGGTACTACTAAGATAGTAATTTCTATTATCTTCAGGGATGTCAAAGTTAAACATACATAAAATATTTAATGGACAATTCTATTAATTTTATTTACATTTTCTCTTATCATAAATAGCTCATTTATAATTGTATAAGAAGCAGATTTGCTGCTATTGACTAATGACTCTGTTATCATGGATTTTAAAGCACTTTACAAGCATCAACTGATTGTTTCCTTACAAAACAAAAGTAAAACCAAACAAAAATGTATGAATTAGGAATTATCCTTTTATTATTTCTACCAAACAGAGGTGGAAATAGGTGATTTGCCCTCAGCCAGGGAGACACTGTAACCTGTGACACAGCTAATAAGTTGGGGGGCTGATATTTGAGTCCCTACTGTAGATGTATCTACTTACCTCCTTTTTATAGGAAAGAAACAATAAAATGTTTTTAAAAATTAAGTTTGATAAAACTTGAAAGCTTAAATTTCCTAAAATTTATTTGACTAACAATTCTCCATGTCTAGAATTCGAATAGGTCTTAAATTATGATCATTGTAAAAATTTAACCACAAATATGTGTTTTGCTAAAATTGTAATGTAAATGTATTCCCCATATGATTATACTTTTAAAGTAGATGAGGAAATTGGAGGATAGTCTGGCATATCATAGGGGTAAAAGGAAGATTTTAAAATCATAAAGATAGAAAAATGATGAAATTTCCTTCAAATCATTACAAGGAAACAGTGATGTGAGTGGAAAGAACATGGATTTTGTATTGACACAACAGAGTAAAACTTATTGATCTATCATCTTTAAAAAAGATTGAAGAGCATGTGTAATAACACCAAACTCTCTGAGAGCCTTAGTTTGTCCACAGGAACCTTGTGACACATTTGATTAACATGCCACAAGCATTCTTCTACGTGTTTATATGCCTCACTTATCTGTTCACTGTATTGCATTTGCTTCACGATATTTATTTACTTACTAATTTAAACCTCACAATGACTTGTATTAACCTCATTTGTAAATTTAAGTGAGTAAATTGAAACAGAAGGCCCTTAAGTGTCTTGCAGGTCTCAAAGCTCTTAGGGGCAGAGCTGGGATTCAAACTCCAGACAGTCTAGCTCCAGAGTCCATGTTCTTAATAAATCTTACGATGGAGCCTGACACATAATTGCAATTCAATAAACAATAGTCATTATTATTATAGACATGTCAATATATATGTCATTTCTTTGTCATAAAAACTAAAGCAAAGAAATTCTACACCTCTCTTTACCCATTACATTTTACAATTCTTAAATGTCTTGGTTCGACCTATCATGAAGTTATTTTTATCCATTTGAAAGTGAAAGAAGTTTCCTAATCCATTATTTCATAAAATATTTTCACCCGCAGCTCCAACAAGTCTCTGGACATTCCTTGTAATGTCTCTAATTGGAGATGTCCACAGCGGTGAGAGGAACTAGCTGAGCTATTCACTCAGTTATGGCAGTTGAGTTAGCAGCAGAAAAAGTGCTGAGAAAACATTCTGAACATGACCAATGCTCAATATTATGTTTGCTTTATAATTGCTTACATTTTGTCTCTGTATTTTTTTTCTGCTCATTATAAGACTAAAGGAAATTTCTGGTTTTAATTAAGAAAAAATGCTGTAGACCAGGGATCAGCAAACTGTATCTCAGAGGGTCAGACTGATGTTTGATGACTTATTCTAGTATCTTATTCATTACATATTTTCTTGCTCTGGTTCCATTGTTATTATTATTTGTAATAAACTGGAAGCAACATAAGGAGAACAATATGTGTTTTATTTACCATTGAATCTTTAGTACCTAGCAAAGTAAATAACAGATAAATGTTCAATGAATGATTGAAAAAATAAATGAATAAAAACATTGCTACTACTAATCTTTTTTATCTGTTTAATTTATATGATCTGATACCATTTATTTATATATATGAGTATACTACTTAAGAAAGATGAGCATTTAAGAAAAAATTACAATAAATTCCTAAAATTTACTTTAAATTCAATAAATTTAATGGCTTACCTGCAAAGTACCATTTTCAATAAATAATTGATTAAAAAATCTGTTTACTAAATTTGAGTCTTGCTTGATGTAGAGCAGAAGTCCATAGGAACTGAAGATTGGAAATTCTAGGGAAATATTATTTTGTGGATTTAAAAATATATTCTGAAATTCTAGAAAGGAATCTCCATAAAACAAACACAACTGAAACCTGTAGAATCAGGAAAAAAAAAAGTAATTTAGGTTGGGATAGAATGCTCAATAGTTGGGTGTCACATTACTAACATTAGCATAAGGTTTTCTGAAATGGCTCATATCTGACTCTTTCCTGCATATTGCAAGTGTGAGCACCTATTTCCTTTGCCTTAGTCACAGTGGTTTGTCATATTTCTATGTATTGGGGGCTTCATAATCAAATCTCAATGGTAGGCAGGGTTGTCCAGATGATTAATCTTCAACGGTGCTTTTACTTAGATTTTATGTTATAGGTCAACAGAAACAGGAATATTTCTAAAAGTGTCACTATAAGATGTTGGTACAAAATTATGTTTTATGTCATTGTAAATTTTATTGGGTTGCTATTGAGCACTGATAGACATTATTGGAAGTAAAGGAATTGTCACCCTTTTGTAACAACATTATATTATCTGAGCTTCTTTAGAAGAAAATTCTCTCATTCTCTTTCTTTTTTTGTTTACCTTCTGAATGATTATATTTTAATTAGCCTTAATCTTTCAAGTAAAATATAGAGATATTTTGAGCAAAATACTTTGACAATTAATTTCTTAACTTTATAAATATGTGATTAAATGAAACATAGTTAGCTTATTCCTCTGAATAAGGTGTTAATTATTTTATATTATTAAAAGTTACTTTTCTTTGATGAACACATAATTAATTAATCACTGTTGGTTGATATATCTATAACAATGGATTTGCGTATCTCTTTTCATTCACTTTTTCCCTTCTGCTCCTCCTGTGACACACGTTCACGCACACCAACTCTCTGTCCTTAAACACTTCCGAAGTGTTTATTCTTTTACAATTAATAGAAGAGATAATTCATGAAACCATTTTAGTTTGCTGTTCATCAAGGTTAGATATTTTTGAAATATTTACTTTAAAACTTCTATAGATTTTATATTTTATATGGAGTGTTTTTCTTATTATAAATTTTCAATAAAGCTAAATTTTCAAACTTGTAAAAAATCTCTAAGAAAATAATTAGCTAAGCCTCAAAGCTATTTTTCCTTTTAACCAGAAATAAAAAGGCTCAAAATACTGCCAGAAAACATTTGTGCTTTGTAGACAATAAAGCAGATGCATGTGTTTATATATATATATATATATATATATATATATATATATATATATATATATCCTTCCTCTTTGTTGATTTCAGGGAGGAAAAAAGAGGGAGAGAGAGAGAAACATCAATGAGGAGAGAGAATCATTGATCAGCTGCTTCCTGCACACCCCACACTGGGGATTGAGCCCACAATCAGGGCATGTGCCCTTGACTAGAATCAAACCCAGAATCCTACAGTTCACAGGCTGATGCTCTATCCACTGAGCAAAACCAGCTAGGATGGATGCATGTTTTTTTTAATCAAGTACTTTACAAGAGAAGTAGGTCCAAAAATTGAAAATATTAACAATGTGCTTTTAATTCTGACATTCTAAGTGTTCTAGTTGTTCTATCTATGATAGAGACAGATATTTCTTCCTTATAAAGTTTATTTTTTAAAGCAACACAAAAGCTTTTATTAAAGAGTCTTTAATTGGAAATCAGAGCCAGTCATTGAGACATTAGAATTTATATGCTTTTTCTTCTGCAGGCAGTAGTTCGTTTTCTTGTAACTACTCAAAAATAAGCTAAAGCTGGAACACATTTTGGGAGTATCTTACCTGATATTAATCTGATAAAACTACTGCAAAGATTTTGGCCTATAAATAATCCTCTTCTTGTAAAGTTTTAATGCTGATGTTAAAGGCATGGTGCAATAGAATTTCACATAACATTAAATAATATGAAAAGTTTTTAGACATTTATTTGAGTAAATTGGGAATGAAGTCAAATATCCATCTGACTTAAAGTTCAAAATGTGAAAGAAGCTTGGCTGGAGTGGTTCAGTGGTTGAGTGTCCACCCATAAACCTGGAGGTAATGGTTCGATTCCCAGTCAGGGCATATGCCTGGGTTGTGGAATCCATCCCCAATGTGGGGCCTGCAGAGGTAGCCAATCAATGAGTCTCTCTCATCATTGATATTTCTAGCTCTCTTTCCCTTTTCATTCCTCTCTGAAATCATAAGAATAAAAGAAAATGTGAAAGAGAATAAAATATTTTCAGATGAAGACTAATATGACAACATGATTACATACTCAACATTGGTGAAATAAACTATTATATATCTTCAAATGCTTTAGAAATATTTTGTTCAATCAACAATTATTAACTCAAAAAGTCTTTTAATTCATTATTTTTAACCCTGTGCTGCAAGAATTTTCAAAGCACACAATACCTAAGTATTTAATCAGGGGCACTGTTTTACCTTAGCTTTTCAAAAAAAAATGACAACAGCCAACACTACAAAACCATCTAGTGTGAATGAATCAAAATTATACCTATTTATTTTGTCAGATTGGCAAAAACGTAATATATTTTTTGGTGTGCTGCAGAATTTGAGTGATTAGTTTATGTGTGCCATGAGATGAAAAGGTTTGAAAATCACTGGGCTAGTGTAAAATAATTCCATATACTTTTCATTATCTAGAATCCTACATAATAAAAGCCTAATATGCAAATCAACTGAACGGTGGAACTATGATGCACACTGGCCACAAGGGGGCAGATATTCAATGCAGGAGCTTCCCCCAGCCCCAAGGCCAGCCAAGGCAGGTGCCAGCACCCGTCCCCTCCCCCCCCACACACTGATCGTCCTGCTGGTTGCCCTGCAGATCGCCAGCCAGGCCTAGGGACCCTACCTGTGCATGAATTTTATGCACTGGGCCTCTAGTTAAATAATAAGTTTCTGCCTCTGGGTTTTCATTTTTCCAAATAGAAGAACCTTTATCTGAATTGCATGCCCTCATATTATAATTATTCCTTTGAATAAGTTTGTATGCTTTTGATACAAATAACCAGAAAGCCCAACTTTCAAATAGCTTCAGCACTAAATAATTTAATGGCATAAGCAACAAGAAGTTCAAGAATAGGGTGGGCTTCCAAATGGATGTTTATGTATGCAAAAGGTCAGCTGGCTTTTCATAAAATACCTAAACTTCTTTGGTCTCTCCATTCTGCTATTCACAAAGTGAGCTTCAATCTAAGACTTGCTTTTTTCCTGATTTAATATAGTGGCCAGTGGTAGTTTAAGTGATATACTTCCTCATTCATGTCCAATCCTCAGTTTCCTATAGTTTCAAAAGAGGAAGGAAGAACTTTCCCAATCACAGCATGAACCTCTCCTAACAGTTTACTGGCCCAAACTGGGTCACCAATGAAGCCCTCCACTAAAGATGAGGATGGGGTCAATTCCCACTGAGACTGCAGGGATGGGTTCACAGTGGACAAAACTGCTGTTCTGTTTAGAAGAATACTTCAAAATCAAATCTCATATACGCCAAGATTTATGACTTATTTCATGTTACTCTCTGACTGTTGGATTCAAATACTCAAAATGCTCAATTACATTGTTCCTGGCAATTTAAAGATTATGGTATTTGCAGGAATAAAGCATATTTCAAAGTAAATTATGAAATATTTGTTTCTTTCATAGATTTTCACAAATTATTCCATGGTCTATAAGTCAATGACAATTCATAGAGCAAGTATTAATTGTATAATGCACATGAAAAAGGAAGTTTAGAAAATAAATAATACTGAAATAGAAAGCAAGTGCATGCAGTTTAAGATTGACAGAGACTTTCAGTGTAGCCAAAGAAAACTTATAATAAATATGAGCTGCAAGGAAAGCTGAAAGAGGACTAGTCAAATAGTTGGATACTTTTTCCTGAAAGTAATTAACAGCTTTTTTAAAAAGGATGCACAACATAGGTGTGTGATATTTCCCTTTTGCCAGCAAATGAAAATTGGGAAAATTCCTTTAATAGTCACCCATGAAAATAGGAAGTAACTCAAAATACAAGTCAAATCATGCCACTCTGCTGCTTAAAAACCTATTTGCTGCCAGTTGCCTATGATATAATTTTTTAGTGTTTACTTTGTGTAGAATCTTTCCAATGCTTTTTTTCCCCTTTTGTCTTTTAATGTGGAGGATCCTTCCTATACTCATCTGCATTACCAGTTCTGTCACGCATTGTCTTTCCCATACATGGGGTTGGTTTCTGGGATCAGTACCCTTTTTTTTTTTTAATATATTATATTGATTTTTTTACAGAGAGGAAGGGAGAGGGATAGAGAGTTAGAAACATCGATGAGAGAGAAACATAGGTCAGCTGCCTCCTGCACACTCTCTACTGGGTATGTGCCCGTAACCAAGGTACATGCCCTTGGCTAGAATCGAACTTGGGACCCTTGAGTCCACAGGCCGACGCTCTATCCACTGAGCCAAACCGGTTAGGGCAGCATCCTATTTTTGTTGGACAGATTGTCAACCCCAAGCCAAACAAACACTAACTTAGATAGTAGAGCTTTATGATAAGGTCCTGCCATTGGACTAGGAAAGTCCTGCATATTCTTCTTCCTTAGGACTGTGTTACTTACTATGTCCTGTGCCTTTTGATATGAATATTAGAATCAGTTACAAGTACAAACATCCTATTGAGTTACATAAAAATTCTTATTAAAAATTGATTTGAATTCCATTGATTTTGTTAAAAGAATGTAAGTAATTGGTGTCTTTGTGATACTTTATCTTCCTGTACATGGACATATTTTTATGTCGCCATTTTACTAGGGTTTCTAAAATACTTTTTATATAGTTTTATAACTTTTTCATAAAGGTTCCATGCATATTTTCTTAGGTTAACTTCTAGAAAACTTAGGAATGTATTGCTACTTTAAATAGTTTTTTGTAAGGTTATATATTTAACTCATTATGTTGGTATATTGAAATTCAACTGACTGTTATATATTAAACAACCTTGTTGAACTTTCCTATTTTTAATAATACCATATCACTTGTGAGAAATGAAATTTTTTTTTGTTCCTAATTCTTAAACTCATTACATTGCCTAGGAC